GATGGATGGATGGATGGATGGATGGATGGATGGATGGATGGATGGATAGGTAGGTGGGTAGGTGGGTAGGTAGGTAGGTAGGTGGGTGGGTAGGTAGGTAGGTAGGTAGGTGGGTAGGTAAGTAATCCCCAGGAGGAAATTTGATCAACTCAGCTCAGATTCCAAACTGCCAGCAATACAGCCCAGTGTTTCCCCTACCATTATACAAGCGGGGCACCCCACCCCGTCAACAGAACCGAGTGCCCCGTCTACCGAACCCCACCCCTCACCCCCAACCACTTGTCAGCACTGACGTAACGCTAAACTAGCGGCTCGTAATGCAGGTGCATTAGCTAAAAAGCTAAAGGCAGCCTCTTCCTTCATGTTGAACCCTCACGCTGAACGCACCCCGTCACTCGAAAACTGTCGGTACAAACAGCGCACGGCTCAGATGTGCGTCTGTCTCTCTCCTCTCACACACCCTGCTCTATAACTGTCAGTGTAAACAGAGCACGGCTGTCTCTGTGTCTCTCACCCCCCCTCTAAAACAGAGCCCGCCGAAATTAAACACGAGCCCCCCCCCCCCCCCCCCCCCCCCAAACAAAAATCACGGACGAGATGAGTGCCTCGCCATGGCAAGTTATCTAGGGGAAACACTGCAGCCATTGCACTCCCCCACCCCCCACACCCCTGGTCGGGAACGTTTGTTTTTTGCAAAAGCAACTATATGTCGGAGGTTTGTTTTTCCAGTTTGTTTCTGTTGTGTTGTTACCATGGTGACAACAATGAGCCACTGGCAGCAGATGTAATGTTTCTTTTGATCTTGGTTCTCTTTACACTTCCTGTACAGTTTATATAATAAAATGTAGCCATTTTTCTTTTGTTGAACTGATTTAAAACTTTAGATATTAAAAATTAATGTTGGAATTTTATTGACACTGTTCAGAAATTATCAAGTTAATCAATGATGGTATTTTTAGAGATGCATAAACGGTTTCTCCTAAGCAAGTTGGTGAGCTCCCATGTGTTTGCTATTTATTGAAAAACAGTGATTTCTCACCCGACTTGGACTCCTTGAAGACAGAAACAACGTGCCGCAAGAAGTTGGAAAGCTGCTCCGTGCTTTTCGAGTTGGGGTTCTTCGGTGTGATGTCTTCATGTGCCCACAGTGGCCCAAAAGCTCTGAGCAAGAACAACACAGTACTCCAGGCACTGTATACCCACCACCAGTAGCACCACACACAGGTTACACGAGCACTGAATGGGCGTACACCACACACAAATTTTCACACACTCACATTCCTCATAAAGTAACGGTGGTATTACCTGGTGGACAGAAACTCAATAAGTTTGTTTGTCTTCTCATCTGTCTCGTTGGACGCATCTTCAAGATCCTCCAGGTCATCAGGTGTCACAAGGGGCAAATGCCCAACACTGCCTGCAGTGCTGCCGCCGCCAAGACTAGCAGAGGACGAGTTGGAGGTGGAGCTGAGTCCTGAGTCCACTACAGGAGATGCCTGCCACTCTCGCAGAAAGTCGGGTGCTTCTAAAAACATTAAATCAAATTGTTCTAATGTGCATTAAAAATATTATCCTCTGCAAAATGTCATGGTTATCATCAGTTTTTCTAAATAAAACATTGATCATAAAAAGGCTAAAACAACAATAAAAGTGATAATAAAACAAATAATGCTGAGTATTTGCTCCTTACGGGACTGCTGGTACTCTGTGTGGTAACTGGACTTAATGGTGAGGGTTTTATTATCCTTGATCTCCCTCGTCAGCATTAGGACCGAGGCTATTACCTGAAAGCAATAAAAGGATATTCTTTAGAGCCAAATGTGGCAGTACTCCTGGCACTGAGTGTGCAAAATAGACTTGTCTAAAGTTCTAAATGTTACATTGTAATATGTAGTATTAGACTAAATGTATTAAATCAAGAATAAAAGGCATTTTCTGACCTGGAAGTTGTTGTTGCAGGAGAGAGCAATAAGGAGGTGGAGAAGGAGACATTTGCTGTGTTCATAAACTTCTGGTCTGTAGTGGTCCAGACCTGGAAATATAAAAACAAATAATTAGGCAAAATAATGTTTTAAGATTCTAAACACACACACACACACACACACGTATACATGTGTATATGTGTGTATATATATATGTATATATATATATATATATATATATATATATATATATATATATATATATATATATATATATATATAAGA